TATGGAAAAAAAATTACATCCCTACCTTACATCATTTAGAAAACCCCACTCATTTAGGATTAAGATCTTGTCAAAAGACAAAATTATAATTTAAAGATCTAAATTGGCTTTATTTACACTCCTAGAATTGAGCAACATTTAGGTTCATCAAACAGAATAAGTGCTTGATAAACTGAGCAGAAAAGATTGGTTTTGTGGATAGAAAAGGGCTGATGAAGGCAGGAACATAGAAAAAATTGTGGATTGGTCATTGGAAAATTACTGTCAAGAACAGGGAAAGAGAACAACAGAAAAATCACTGATTGGTTAACATCAGGTTACTCTGGTTATTTATTTATTTACTTTTGTAAGGATTAAAGCAGAGGGAGCTTCATTACTATGCTTCATTACCATGCTTCTCAGGTCAGTAACAACTTAAATTTTGGTTTGGCAGTGCACGAATGCGGCATGAGTGACTCCATTTTGGTTTTGCATGTTGGACCTAGTAGTGCAGGAGCTCCAGCCAAACCAATGGTGTCCCATGAATGTTAGTACTGTTAGTAGAGAAAGAACTAAGAGCAGGGAAGACTTCCTTAAACAAGACACCTCCCCAAATAGCTAATAAAAAAAGTCTAAAAATTCATGATGCTAAATTCAAGAAAAATCTTTGATTTTATTTTTCAGTGCACTTTGAACTTTGCCAATGCCAGGCGAGCATTTTACCACTAAGCCTCATCCCCAGTTCTTTTAAAAGACCACCTTATTAGGTAGCAGAGTATCACAGCAGAGGCGTGCTGGGCCCATAAAAGACCACACTATTAAGATAAAAATATCAGAGACTATGACTGCCATTTAAGAAAAAAACAAAACCTTTGTTTTCACCATATAATTGAATTTTATCATTTCTTTCAATCATGACAGTAGACCACAGTTAGCAAACTGTGTCTTTTTGGCATAAAAACATACCAAATTCCATGTTTTTGTAAACAGATTTTTATGGGCACATAGCCACCCCCCCAGTATGCTGCTACCCAGGATGGCAGAGATCTGAGTATAGGTGGCATAGGTAGTATTGCCAGAAAAAGCCTAAAATATTTACTGTCTGTTCTTTTTATAAAAATGTTTGATGACCTCTGGTGTTGGAGACAAAATAAACTTATAAAGTCCCTTGAGTTCACAGGCCATCCTTATATAGTATCAACCATCATTTTTTGATGCATTGTTTGCCTATGCTGAGAGCTCCAAATATATCCCTGTATTCAATCCTCACGATAAGCCATAGCCGTTGTATCCTCTTTATGTTGTGGAGAGGAAAGGGCTTACAAATTTGTCAGAACCCAATGTCATTGCTGTTTCTCACTGACCTGTCCCAACGGCAACTCTTTTTATTTGACCCCTCCATCTGGCCAACTAGATACCCTATAGAGGGCAAGGGAACTCGCTCGTCGTTGTAGGGAAACCTCTACAATGGTTTGATTTGTTATCGTTATTCTGAAATGTAATGCTGGAGGACAATTATTTTTACAGCCAACAGGGAATATTCGAGGAATGTGATTTTTGCTGGTTAACCATCTGCATTTGAACTATGTTGAAAAATCTTTCTAAAATATGATACCCCTGCTAATCACCAATTACCGAACACCGAACAAAAGCCAAACTTGCACGCTGGCTTTCAGGACTTTGTCACGTTTCCGGTCCCTAAATCAGTTACCTTCCCTTACATCTGCACAGCGTTTGTGGTTTCTAAAGCCTTTTTCCGCAGATCGCTGCGCTTCGCCTGCTCAGAGAAGCCACCCTCTGCCTGGGGACCCTAAAAGAATGCTCCCTGCGCACTTCAGGTGGTGACATTTTGGCTCTCCTGCCTGGCAGAACAAGGGCGCAGCACGGGGACGAGGAAGGGACGCGGTAGTCCGGCGTCCCTACCTCCACACGGCCGAGCCGCACCAGCTCAGCCACGACAGCAGCACCGCGGCTCCCCCGGGCGACATGGCGCCAGCTCCACCTTGGCCAACCGCCCGGGTCGCGCGCGCTCATCCTGCTCCGCCCCAGGCGCGCGCTCACCTCCTCTCTCCCGACGCCCCCCCCCCGGGCGCGCGCTCACTCCGCCAACCTGCCCTGGGCGCGCGCTCACCTCCTCTCCCCGAACGCCCCCCCCGGGCGCGCTACTCCGCCAACCTGCCCTGGGCGCGCCCTCACCTCCTCTCCCCACCCCCCCCACCAAGGCGCGCGCTCACTCTCCCCCCCCCGCCCCAGGCGCGCGCTCACCTCCTCTCTCCCGATCCACCCCGGGCGCGCGCTCACTCCGCCAACCTGCCCCGGGCGCGCGCTCACCTCCTCTCCCCCCTGACCACCCCCGGGCGCGCGCTCACCTCCCTGCCTGGACCAAACCTTTACGTTGGCGTATCTTTAAACCCAAATACTCGTGGGACTGTATGTAACCCACACATCAAAGCGTACTTGGCCTTCTGGCATTAGTCCGTTTACTGACAACGCATTGAATAGGAATAATAAATAGTATCTAAGATCTACCACCCTGGCCAGGCCACCCTCAACATGCCTAATCTTCTGAAGCTAAGCAGGGTCCCGCCTGCTTAATACTTAGATGGGAAGAATAGTAAATACGAAAACGGTGTCTAAGGACCGTCGGAGGACATGACAGTATACACGATTTGAGAGAGGCTACACGGAGTGTGATTCTATTCCTATTCTATTCGTCTACCCTGTGCGAGGTCCTGGATTTGATGCCGGCCACTGCAAGAGAAAAAAGGTGTGTGTGGGGAAGTAAATCTTGTAAAATAAGGATAAGAGAGTATTGAGGCAGGATAGATGAGGAGACAGGGAAATTATATTATTTTAATAAATATTAAAAGGGTCACCAGACTCAGACATTGGAATGATGAAGTAAAAACTAAAAGCCAGAAGCCAGGTGCCGGCAGCTCACATCTGTAATCCTAGCTACTTGGGAGGCTGAGATCATGGTTGGAGACTAGCCCTAGCAAATAGTTCACGTGACTCCATCTTCAAAGTAACTATAGCAAAATGGGCCGAAGTGTGGCTCAAACGATAGAGTGCTTGCTTTGTAAGTGAGAAGCCCTGAGTTCAAACTCCATCCCCCCCCAAAAAAAAGCTAAGAGCATCGAGCCCCTCCCATCTCCTTTTAGATGTTAAGTTACAAGGATAGGGAGACATAAAGAGGTTGTCTGTGTCTATCTTCCTTTTCTAAATGCTAAGCTGCAAGACTCCTTGAATGAGTTGCAAGGGCAGAAAGAATAAAAGGCATGTCTGGCAAGGGAAAGTCCTAAAACTCAGCTACTGTTCTGTGTTTTGGGTGGGCCTAGATGACATCTCCAGTTTTAATCCCACATATACATCGTCTTAATGGTAAGTGGCTGCTAGCCTTGATCTCATGTATTCCCCCAGCTCAGAGAGTATAAGACTACAAATAAGGACCACCATTTTGAGTCTTTATTCCCTTTTCCAGCATGGGGGACAGGAAATGTTTCTCCCTTTTACCCCTACTTTCATCCTGTCGTAATACATTCCTTTTCTAATAAACTTAATTATCACATTTGTAAGAGGTGCTTAAATTGCTTTTGCTGAGAAGTGCTGACTCCTTCCTTGGGCCCGCAAATTAGCCAAGCTTGGCATCCCTGCCTCCATTTTGCATGTCTTTGCTCTAAGTTATTTTCTCTGCTGTCGCTTTGCAATCACTCTGGGTTCCACGAAGGACAGACCTGATCCAGACGTCTTTATGAGGAGGAACAGAACAGCAGAGGCTCCTCAGGACAGACAACCTGCCAGGCAACGATTGTGAATGACGACTCCCAAAACAATACTGAGATTATGACCCACTGGAACACACCAGTGACTGAGAGTGTTTACACTTATCTTTTGGCTCTGTCCTAATTCTTTTTAAAGATAAGGCTCATGTCTGTGCCCCAAAGATGGCTGAGAATGGGATGCAGATGCTTACTTTGCCCCTTACCACAGCATGTCCTGGGTGGTGTAACAAACCTTTCTCTGCCCTCCACCATTCTCCTCTCTTTATTTGGATTATAGGGGCGAGTGGCCAGACCTGACACATGGAAGCCCAGGAGTCTGGGCCTGGGGTTCAAAACTCGAGTTTCATAGTCACTTCATTTTTGCATCTTGCCTGAATTCTCTCACCATCCACAAGAATCAAGGTAGATAACTGCACATACCTTCCTGTAACAATATCACCTACCTTATATGATTCGTTTTGTATGACCACAGTCATAATTAAAAATCATAAAAAACCCAACTGCATTACAGTATTAATGTATTGCAGTACCTGCGTATACCCTATGATGTAGCTAAGTCACTACTCCTCTCTGAGCCTCTGCTACTGTGTAAAATGAAAACTGTTACCACTCTTATCTCTAGATTTGCTGGTCTTAGGGCCTACACCTTTTTATTGTTTTACTTTTGACTTTGCCCTTTTAGTCCTTGTCTCTATTTCTGCTCTTCTAGACCTCTCGTTTTCAATTTGAATACAGGGTTCAATCCTCATCTGTTTGTATTCTGAAATCCCACTGATTTTTACTCTTTAATCGCTACCTGATTCCTTAACAAGAACAAATCTTTAAGCACAAAAAACGCTTTCATAATCTGAAACCCGCGGAGGGCAGACACCATGGCACCACGCCGTCCCTGCCGCGCAGAGCATTGCATGCCGGGAGTTGTAGTCCGAAGCTCCGCACGGACCTCCGCGCCTCCAGTTTGAAAGCGGAAGGGCGGGTAGGCGGAGCTTGCTGGAAGCCCCGCCCCTGCCCCGCCAGCTCCGGGCGTTCGCCCTGGAGTGTCGCGCCTAGGCCACGGAAGGGGCGTGGCCTCGGCCCGGGGCGGCGGCGGTTGCTGCCTCCAGCGCCTGTGCCTGCGGGCGGTGCTGCAGCGGCCGGCCTGCGCGGGGCAGTCATGGTCACCCCTTGAGCAGGCGGCGGCGGAGAGCGGGGCGGGGCCTGGCGGGAGGGCGGTGGCCCGCGGGGCGGGGGCGGGGCCGGCCTCTGGCTCCTTCTTCCTCCGCATGTGGCTGGCGGCCGCAGAGCAGTTCGATCCGCGCCCCGTTCGCCGGCCGCGTCCGCTTCGGGCTCTTCTCGCTTCGCTGGAGCCATGTCGTTTGCCAAAGCCAACGCGGGGGCGTCCTCTCTGCCCAACGGCGACTGCGGCCGCCCGTCGGCGCGGCCCGGAGGGAACCGGGTGACGGTGGTGCTCGGCGCGCAGTGGGGCGACGAAGGCAAAGGGAAGGTGGTGGACCTGCTGGCGCAGGACGCGGACATCGTGTGCCGCTGCCAGGTGAGGCGATGGGCAGCGGCCCGGGAGCTCGGGCCCAGTGAGGTGTCACCTTGAGGTCCTCTCCTCCTGTTGCGAGCTGCGGCGACCGGGAGAAATGGCGGGAGGTCGGGGACCCCAGCGCTGGGTCTCGGCTGACGCTTGGCGCGGCGCTGGAGCGGGGCGCGGGCGGACGCGGAGCCGTGGGGAGGAGATGCGCGGGGCCGGGGAGCCGCGGTTCGGGGCTGGGGACCGGTGCCCGGGCGCGTGGCGGGAGTGCTGTGGGGTGGGGTGCGGCGGGGTGAGGTGGGATGCGATCCAGCGGAGAAAGCACCGCCCTAGGCCTGCTCCCGACTCCGGGCGTGACCCGGCCCGGGCCCGGACAGCCTGCCCATCACCCATCCGGGGCGGCCGAACGGGATCGGTGGTTCCGAAACGCCCGAACCCGCGGAGCCCCACCTGCAGGCCTCGGGCGCGCGGAGCTGCGCCGCCTCCGCTCCACTTTGTTGACATCAGAACCCACCTCGGGGCTTGTTTTTGTTTCATTCCGTACGTCGTAAACTTATACTTAAGGGAAGGTAATTTTCACTCGTTAGTCCCAAGAGAAGGAGTCCCCACCCTCGTTAAAAAGACAGGCAGGTAGATGCGCGGATGTCAGATCGGACGTTTAGAAATATTTACATTGTTACGGTAGCAGAAAGTTCACTGTGGGGAAGTGGAGTGGCCGTGCACTTCCTACCGGGAGACACGTGGTTTTCAGTGTCCGCTTTCTTCCTATTCGTCGTTTGCTTTGAAGTAGCCCAGAGGCTGGGTCTCTGTAGAGCCTCTCAGATAACTGTCTCCCAACTTCAGAGTTCGAAATTTTGAAATTTTGTGAGCAGCAGTCACGCTCAAAGCAAGAGGCAGCTTCTGAAGTTGACTACTGCCGTTCTTCGAGGCTGCAAGAATAGCTCTTGTTCTCGAAGGCACTTGACACAGTGTGAAGATGCCACCCTGCAGTGCTCCAGCAAGTTAGTAGTGGGCCACTTGACTCGAAGCTTTCCATCCAAAATTCAGTGCTATCTGAGCATACGGAAAGCAAAGAAATTACACGTCTGTGTAAAGCTAAATGCAAATACTCTGCCTTACCTTAGGTTTTCTTTTTCCTTTTCTCCTTCCTTCCTCCCTCGTTTTTATTTTTTTCCTGCATGCAGAGATCCACCCTGATCATTTTTTGACTAGGATAGCTGGCACCTCAACTGTCCCAACTTACCACTGACTCCTATGCCTTCAGCCTCTGTTCCTCTACCTGCCACCGTGCATACTTAGTGGTACTCTCAAAGGTGGTGCTGTTGAAGTCCAGCCTCACATGACCATAGGAGCTGCTCCAAAGCCCAGCCTTCACCTGTCTTTTGTCTTCAAACCATAGCTGCCATGCCATGGGGAAGGCTAACTCTGTGGGCTACAAGGAGAGGCCAGGTGAAAGGTATCCCTTTTTCCTGGGTTCTAAGGTTTGAGGACTGTAGCCATCGGAGCATTTATTCTATAAGATCCTCAATTATAATATTCCTTGAAAATTATTAGAATTAGTTTGTAGCCTGGAGGTGTTACTATGTTTAAAAGAAAGTAGCCTTAAGGGAGGTCATGGACCAATCTGATTCGATGCCCTTGGAAAGGGCAGAGAGGTGATTGAGAAGGAGCCATGTTTTGGCTTCAAAATATTAGCTGAAGATAGTAGAGAAAGTAAGTGATCAGACTTGACAGGCAGACTTGTTTTTGAAAACTTTTTATTTAGTCCCTTGTAAAATCTTTATATAGTCCTCATGTTCCTTTTTAAAGAACTCACCATTAGGCGGCTTCCTGGTCTCATTAGGCACAAGTAGGTAAGTAAGGAATAGATTTAAGCACATCCCAGTGACTCACCTTAGTAACATCACGTCATCTGGCCAGCCCTTGTAATGTGACATCTACTTAATGAAGTTCTCATAGATTGTAAACTTGAAGAATACAGAATATTGGAATTCTTAGTGAGTGTATGGAGAGCTGTAAAGTCAGCTTTAAGAAAGGCATTTTGAGCTTAGATCAATTACTTTGATGTCTCAAGTTTTGTGTGTTATTGAAAATAGGTCCTTTGTTAGACTTTAAATTTTGTTTTGCTATAATCAAACAATGAACTCAAATTTTATCTAGCATTGTTTCTCCAGAGGAATACCCATATGTATTCATATTTCAACAGTGGAATCATCAAATAAGGAATTCCTTTCAATATAAAATGTATGATGCCATAATGTACCCCCAGCACAACAATAAAAAAATTAGAAAATTTAAAAACAAAAAAATATGAGGTATAGTTTTAAAAAGAAAAATCTGACATTAACTATTCATTTTAATATACAGAATACCTTTTGGGAAAGAATAGATGCAGAACATGGCACTTTCATCATTATAGCACTGAAAGCCTGTGTCTTACAGATTTGTGGGGAGTTATTTATAACTTTGTAGGTATTCTAGATCCATAAATAAGTGTGTAGGACTTGGATCAAAGGACAACCACTATGGATGCCTCCATTTTAGACCTGAAGATGCATCTAGGGGACATGGAGTGAGTATCCACAGGGGGCCGCTTAGCTCTGGAGGGAGAAAGCTGAAAAGGCCAGAGACTGGGCCCACAGGCAAGTCAGTCTAGTGGACAAATGCTCTGTAAACAGCTGTTGCCTGGGTGGGGCTGGAGAAGAGGACCGGTACAGGTATTTCAAGAGGTTCAAGTGTGGAAACAGGAAGGCCCTTTACAGCATGCACAAAAGTAGTTTTGTTAGGAAGTCTGCTAATGGTTTTTTCCCCTAAATCCTCCCAAAGTAAAGTATGTTTGTGTCCTTCATTTTGTTGACGAGAAACTGCAGACACATTTTAACTGTGGTCATTTATACCAGGCTTTACGCAAAGGCTTCTTTATTGTGTTGCAGAAAGCACTCTTGGTGGTCTTGGTTAGAAGAGTTGTTTACAGAGCACTAATCCCTTTCTCTGTGTTTTCCCCCAGGATTTTAAAGGAATATACAGTAGGTACTAAAATTAATTATAAGGGAAAGTATATCCCATCACTCACTATATTAAAACAAACAATGAAAAAACATATTAATTTGAAGCTAGATAGCTGGTACATGCAGAAGGCTCAGAAACCAGCTAGTAATAATGAAGTGTAAAGGAATGAAGCCACAGAGATTTTCTCCTTGAAATTGTTGGAAAAGGTGAAAGATAATTTAAAAAGGATTAACTCAGCTAAAATTCTTTTAGACTACTTCCCATAATTTTGAAGAATTAGCACTTCTCTCAAAGTTTGGTCACCCAGTGAGACTGTCTGTGGTATCTGATCCAAATTATTCTGTTTGTTTTGTTTTGGTGGGAATGAGTGGTTTGATTGAATAGGTTGAAGTATCTCTAGGAAAAGCTGTTGCCTACAACAGAGAGAGTGAGCCTATAAACTTACAGTCACATATTGGCTTACTGTAACTAGGTATGAACCGTGTCAGATTTTGACATGAAAGATTAATGAGGATGAGCTATATATTGATAAGTGAAGATTGGTGATTATTAAAATACTTTTATCAAATGGAAAAGGGGCATTAAAGTCTAGCGTAAGCAGTAAAAGAATAGTGAATTGACTTCCCAGGGCTTCTTTGGCTCTAGGGTGGAATGGTTAATATTATTTAGTTCAGTGTAATAAAACTCTTTAAAAAGCTAGGATGCCTCATGAAATTTCAGTAGCTTCATATCTATATGATGAAGTAAATTTTTATCAAGCATTTACAAAGAACTGTGTAACATCAGTTTCTACATGGTTAACTTACATACCTCCATTCTCCTGCCTGGTTTCATGGGTCATGTGTGATACTCAAGTTTGATACCTAGAGTCTAAAGCTTGTTAATTAGGAACCAAAGATCCTCCAAGCCAGTGCCCTTTCTACTCTCATTGTGAATAGTTTCATGATGGAAATTAAAACAAAGTACCTGAGACTGTCATCATTTTGTGATATTTATGTGTCTATAAAACTACAAGGTTACCATGATAATAAAAATAAAGTGGTATCTTCACGCTTTTCCAAGATAATTGAGCAGTGTACTTGTATTTTCAAAAAAGGAATTCAGAAACCTGCATATATTTTCTCTTCCTATTTAGTGTATCTGGTTACTGTTGAGTGGTTTAATTTGATCAACTTGCTGGTAGTAACCTCACCTGATATACTTGAGAACTCTAAGCTAGTACAGTTGTATGAATGCTTTCAAAACAGAGCAGTTGTCCTTGTTCATAAATACTTAACTGCTTAACTTTGGTTTTGGTTTTGGTGAAATGTAAAATGTTTCATCTAGAAAAGGGGAGGTCAAAGTCTGAGTCGTAACCAAGAAAGTAGCATTGGTGATGAGCATTGACTCAAAAGATGTTTACCTCTTAAGAAGCTTGAAGATGCTACAGAAGAAACAGCACCCTTTTTTGGTGGCTGGGCTAGTTGCTGACATGGGTCGTAGGCATTGCTGTTCTCTGCTGTAATCTGTAGCAGACATTCTGGCATCTGTTTGATGTTCATTCAGAGCTCTGTGATTACAGTACAGTGTTAAAGTATTCAGAGCAAAAAGGACAGAGAGAAGACACACAGAGTATTTCAGAGGCTTAACTAAGTGGCCTGAGAAAGGCCTCTGGGGCTGGAGCATGTTAGCCCTTGACACTTGACCCTCTAGTTGCTGTGTAAGAGGTAAATAGCACTGTCCCCTAACCCAGCAAGGACACCCTGGGGGGGTCAGGTGGGGGCGGGGAAGCAAAAGCCATTTTTGCAGGCTAATTTTATTTCTTTCCAAACTTGTTTTTGAATTTGAATTTTTTTTTTTAGTTTTGGTGATACTGGGGTTTAAGCTTGGCCTCATGTTTGCTAGGTAGGCACTGTACCACCTGGCCCACTCTGCCAGCCCATATTTGTGTTGGTATTTTCAATATAGGGGCTCGTGAACTATTTGCCCCGCTGGCCTCGAACCTCCTGATCTCTGTGTCCTGACTA